CAGATAAAACTAAGGCGCTAAGAGCGGTGAGGAGAGAGAGAGACAAAGAGACCATTTTACTATGTGCACCTTTGTCTGAATTACCTATTTTATTTTATTTTTTACAAATGTCAAAAGGAAAACCAAGTTGCTTACACATGCCTCAAAGAGAGGACCGACTGTGACATTTAAAACAAAACTTAAGCTGCCTTGTCTTTTCTTACACAATCTATAGTCTAAATAAAAAATGGCGATTCGCCACTTTTTTAAAAATCGTGTAATTTAATATTGGAATAATTAAGATAAGTGTTTTCTATTCCTTTTCTGTTGTTTTTCTAAATTCATTTTTATCTGAATGAATTAATCATAGAGTTGCATCAGACAGTCTCCAGCTTTATACCAGTAATTCTACCCCACTGATTTTTAAGTCTTATGTGTTGGTTTGTGTTATCAGGGGAGGTGTACATGTGCACATTTAACAATATTTCATCAGCTAGAAAGTTGACTTTCAAAGAAGACAGAGTTCTTTTCCTCTGACACGTAGACCAGTGACTCGTTGCTGCAATACAGTCCACAGAGTTTACATGCAATGGAATTTGCTTTATAAATAAAATAGCCAGTGTGGACACAGCGGTTCTTCCATGGAGCAGAGGAGCTTCTGTTCCATCAGGGGACAAGAATAGGCTCATTTAGCCCTGGACTTAGATGAATGAACAAAAGCTACAAGTTAATTTGTTACGTTGGCAACAGACAAACACATTTTGAGTCTCAGCCTGTTTATATTAAGAAATACTGCAGTACAGAACATGATGTGTACGCTGATTCATAGCCAGTCATAATTTGGCAAAGGTGTATACGTCTGAGTAAATAAGTGGTGGAGAGGATTTTAACGCTCTGGGTGTGACAGATACAAAACCACATGTCTATGTGTGCTAGACTACCCATGTATGAGCACCTGATAATGAGGTTTGCAAGACTGAGTATTTATGAAAACTGTGTGTGCTATAATCCTTGACACCTTAGGGAGATGCACACAGATTCAGTCTTTTCCTGTTCCTTTCCATTAATTCCACCTGTATGCACTGGGAATGAGCTCCTGCTGGCCCTCACCGTTCCTGCCTCCCTCCCTCTTTCCACTCCTCCCTGACTCTAAATCCCCAGTAGGCTTTCTGAACACTTGGCTGCTCTCTTCTGAGGCATGGCCTTCCTCACTGCACACTGTGTTCTCAGCAACAGCTCCAACATACCACAACTTGAATGGATAGGATGAGCATTTTTATTCAAATCAGCATTTGAATGGCCATTTTGCTGGAACATGCAAGACAGCTGCCACATGGCTGCTGAACTTATGATAATGTTGCCATGGGAATGAGCACTGGCACAGTGCAAAAGGCTCACAGAGCTGAGATGTTGCCGAATGCATTGTGTATGCCTGTTTGCACTGCCCCCCCACTCAAGGAAACAGCAACATAATGGTCATTTAAATGACAGCCCAGCTTGAGTACATGACTTTAAGAGATTTTACATCATAACTGTAAATACTGTACTTTCAAATTACCAATGTAGTCTAATTAATCTCAGCTTCTTGCAGTTAGATTTTATATACAGGTATAGGTAGGTCTATATGGCAAATTTTTGTTTCTATAGTCAGTAGCTATAAATTAGGAGAGTTTTTCTGGTACTACATAACCTCAAAAAAGTATCAATTATCTAAATAATCCAAAAGTGTTAACAATGAAATGTGTTCAACCCAAGCTGCAACCTCCAAAGCTAAGAAAAGAGACCAATGCTAAAGTGCTAAAAGCTGCAGTTCCTTAATTGGCCACTTGAGGCTGGCTCCAAAACACAGTCAGTCCCCACAGACTTTCATGTTAAAATGCCAAACTTCACAGCAGAAATAAACATGTTTACAGCCTGGTACAAAACACGGTTTTGGTCTCTATATCTAATTTACCATCCCATAACAACTGTAAGGGTGGTGAATTCCTATATAACTCTCTCACTTAGATTATATTGAGGCTAAAAGTTGTGCATAATTAAGGGCGTGCCTGCTCTAAATGACAGGTGGGAGGGTCCCACCATAGGTGGCTAAGCTGCTAGCTGTCCAGCAAGCTCCACTCATGCTCCACCTCTTTGCCCATTTTTGGATTAGCTGTAGCAAGCAAAGCACAACCAAGATGATGATGGCCAAACTTTAGCTTCAGAACTGCCTTCAGAAAACCAGTGGGTGACATCACAGTGGGTTTGTCCATCTTTCCTATACAGTCAATGGTTGAATGCTATCCATTCTATATTTAAATATCTACATATTTGCTAATGTGATCATGTACAATAAAAGGTCCATCTCCTACCTGATTGCTCTGCTGATAGAATGATGCAAAAATAATGTCGACATTCTGTGAAAATGCCTTTAAAACTCATTCAACGTAATATTATACATTAGATATAATCCAGTGACACAAAATACTTGTGTTATCCAACATGTGAAGTGAATACTGATACCTAATATGGCCCCAAAAGTAGAACAAGAAAGAGATTTGAAATGTTATTACTGACATTACTCATTTTCAAATCCTTTTGAATTTCGTACTTGTCGTGCTGGTTGGTGACTCAGTGTTCAGCGGACTACACACATAGGAGTGTTAGATTTATCAAGATGGTACAACATGCAGATACAAAGTGTATATTCATGTTATGAAAGCAATATCATGTCTCTAGTTTTTCAGTTTGGTTGAAGGAAATTTCTCACCTTCCCAGTGAGAGAGAGATGTGGTGGTGTTTTCACTGGTAACCGTAGCTAAGTGACAGGTGTGTTCCTCCTACTGTACAATAACTGTGTTAACACAAAAGCAGTTTTCTTTTTTTTTACTTCTCTCATGTCTCGAGTAATGACTGACTGCAATAGGGGACCACTATGTGCATGTTAATACTAAGTTAATAAGGCAGGATCCACAGCTCTGTGCCACAGCTACTGTAAACTTTTGAACTCAGCACAGAGGAGCTCATTTTGCGTGGGTACTGATACATGCGCCTGTATAGCCTTTTGAACTTCAAACATACACACAATCAGACGGATGCACATAAACATACGTAGACGCCTTATGTGAGTACACTGTAGAATGCTAAATAGATTCTTGATGGAAGCCACCCTTCCTGTCTTTTGGCCTTGAAAGGCCACATTATGCAGGATGAGTGGAAAGAGCCAAAGTTACCTGATTCTTGAATAAGAGTAGACTGCTACAGAGAGAAAGGAATGCTGTGTTCCTAGAAGTTGCAAACCAGATGTCTTTTGAAGATTCATGCTCTATTGTATCTGTACATAAAGATCATCTTAGCAGAGTTGTCATAAAATTGTTTTACTTTTAAAAAAGGTCTTCCTAATGTGCGGAAAATGAGTTTTATTTGCTTTAATTCACTATATTTGTTTAATTTCATTTGGGGTCGTTGATTTTTTTCCTCAGTAAACATGACAATATCATTTGTACATGTACAAGCTATAAATGAAAAGACCAGACAGAAAGGATAATGCTACTTTCTACAAAAATGTATTTGAATATACTGTACTTATCTCTGACACGCCCTCCCTATCCCTCAGAAATGAATGATATAGAACCCTCTGGTGTAACACCAATAAGGTACTTCATGGTTGTGTTGTATTTGCAGTGGGAAAATGACTGAACCTGTGCTTTATGATCGGACAGTCTCCTTGTGAATATTTCAGTTCAGAATTACAGAAACATGTTTCCCAAAGGTGTCCACAAACTGATGAAGTATATTGTCATCATTGGCCTCTTCTCAGAAGGCTTGCAAGCTTCATTTCCACCTGCTGTTTCCTTTTCTATCCTCTTCCAGTGGTGTTGGTGCTGCTTCTCTTTGTATGGTGTCATCCACTGCAGTCTCATCCATCGCTGGTGTACTCTCTGTCCTTCACCGTTTTCTATTTGTCCATCTGGTAAACCGTTCAGTCTCTAAAGGCTTGATCTCACATCTGACAACCAAGCCATTCAACATACAGTATCTTGTTAATTCTGCAACCTGGCTCCCCTCTTTTTGACATCAGGCAGAAAAGCAGTGACAAGTTATTCCGTTGTATATTTTTTACCATGCACACTTTGTCACGCAACAGCCTTACCGTAATTACATATACAAATAAAACAATACAAATAATAATAACGGAAGACGGCACATATGAGCACCTGATTGTTAGTGCAGATGAAATATGGATTGGCTACAGCAAAAACAAAGGAAAAAAAACAAACAAAAACAAAAACACATAGTCTCCAATATGACAAATTTCACAGAATGCACTGTGCATGTCATGATAACAAACCTTATTTGACTCTGAATGGTGTTTTTGTTTTTGATAGGTCATCCCAGACTCCCTACAACATCTGTAGCAAATTTCTGTACAGTAGATCAAATACAAATGTGGAAAAAGCAGGCTCTGTTCTTTGCCATTTAAGATGCTTAGTCCCTGTCTTTCTGTTTAGCAAATTCCCTAAGACATTGTACATATTGCTCACTGAACTAACAAAATGACAAAACGGATATTTAAGTCATAAAATTTAGGAGCTTTTGAAATTAATTTTAGAGCCAGAGATTAACAATTAGATTACCCTACTAGTGCGCATTTTTTCACTTGATCCTTACATTATGTGCAGGCTAGATTCCTATTGTTTAAAAAAGACTGGTAAAAGTAGAAGTACTAACTCTGTTAAAGTTAAAGAAAAAAGTACAGGCTCTGAAATGTACTCAACATATGCTCAAGTGTACTCAAAGTAAAAAAACACTTCCAAGGACATTTCTACCAGCCGTTTCTGTGTAAACCTAACTGAGCTTCACGTCATATTCATATATTTCCAAGATTATTAAACCATACAAACTTCATATAAAAATATATTAAAAATATTTACCATTAACTACAAAACATTTCAGGTCTAATTAAGCCTTAAAGGATATAGTACATTTATCAATACCCGTTAAAAGAGTAAAACCAACAATGATGAATTGCCTCTACTCACGGTTCAGGCCTGTCACTCTCCGACCTGGATTAGTTTGTTCGTCTGTGTCACAGACCTTAGTTGTTGTTCAAAAACAAAAACAAAAAACACACACATCAGGGAAACACACCGCTGCATTGGGTGACACATGCCTTCATTACGAAGCACAAGACCAAGATATTAAAAATGTTTCTCCAAATGCTTCATATAACCATAACGCGTTATAGCGTTTGACGTGAAGCAAGGCTCAACTGCGCATGCGCGAGATCTCCGTGAAGGCGCGAGGGGCTGAAGGAACGTAAATAAAGAACGTAGAGGAGAGGCTATTTGTGCAGAGTGGCCTTGTAAAGCGGAAGCAAGTCATTCCTCTCAAATGTATTAAAAGTAAAAGTAACGAGTTTGATTTAAAAATGTAAGGAGTAGAAAGTACAGATAGCTATTTGTGCTCAAATGTAGGGAGTAAAAGTAGCAAAAAGTTGTCAGAAAAATAAATACTCAACTATTTAAGTTCAGTAATAAACTATTTGTACTTAGGTACTTCCCACCTCTGTGTATAATGTATTGCAGGCAAGCCTATGATGTCCTGACTCACCGCTGGACTCAACAGTAAACCTGAGCATAAGCAATCACTCAGTAGGTTTAGCACTGCAATTGTCCTCCACACTCCCAGCACTGAAGACACATTAGTTCACTTTAATTTGAATTTTAACATCTGCTTGGGCTCCTAGTAGGCCTGTTCCTGAAGTCTTGTCTCCCTGTCTCTCCCTGCCTCCTCCTTCTCATCTCTGTCTCCTCTCCCCCTCTCAGTTGGACTCAAGTCCTCTGAACCCGAATTAAACAAACAGGAGATAACAGCAGAACTGGTAGAGCACAGATAGAGAAATAGATGATGATAAATGGGAGAGAGAGAGAATTATACACTTGAAGAGAAACAGAAGGTGTTAATTTAGTATTTGCTCAGATCAAGCACAGTGACAGAACATTTTTTTGGTCACGGGTGAATTTTTCTGTACACCTGCAAATATTTGGTACTTCCACGTCTCATCATGACAGTGCTTGCAACAGTTTGAGAGAGAAATGCACCAGAAGGAAATGTCAATAAAACTCAGGTGTTCAGAAGAATTTTGGTATTATAATGGTATCCACCTGACTTGTGACATCTTGGCACGGGTGAAATTTTTCATGGTTTCAGGTGGCAAAAACGAGATGTAGAGCCTTTGTCTTTGATGTCTAGAACCTTTGGGAAATTTCAAAGTTCACCTTTACTCTTCAAACCAATCAGCTCCATTGTGGTAAACCTTGATCATCAAATCCTGTGAAAGAAAACACGTGAACATATTACATATCTGTTTGGCTTGTTAGCTGTACACTTTACATCTGGAAATAAAACTCACTGACTAGAGGGAAACACCACTCTATATGTTTCATTTCCTAAATCTATTATAGCATAAAGGGGAAGTAATAAAATAACAGAAGAAAACTAAACACTGTAACTAAGCGCTGGAGATAATTAAATAGCTATAAACAAGAAATGAAGAAACAGTAAAATGAGCCACTAAATGGTCAAAAATATTTAGTGAGACACTGGTCATGAATTCTGTCTCACACTTACCCAGTGACGAGCGGTGAGGTTGACAGCTCGTGAGGCACTGACTCTTTTACAGTCAGATTTACAAATAGAAATGAACCGTTAACAAATTGTCTGTTAACAGACAATGCGTTATGTTTTATATCTTATATCAGCATTCTTCACACAAACGTGACCCATATTTAATTTGAGGTTAAAATTTATTCCAATTGAGCTTATTTCTAACTAGAAATAATAAAAGTTTATGGTCTTACCTTTACTTGTACACGAAATCCATTTGTCAGCTGGTATGTATTACAAACCCTTTTACCGTTCGAATCCAATATTAAAACAAATGTTCTCAATAAAGAAGATCCTTCTGGACAAAAATGTCCAGACTGTCAAAAATGTTTTGATTGAAAGTCCAGATTTGCGAATTTTCTCAGCTTGGAAATGTAATCTTCCATTTTGATAAGGCGGATTGTAAAGGAAATATAAACAAGCACGAAGAAGATTGAAGGTAGCGCAAGAATCTGTGGGCTCACTAGCGCCCTCTGCCTTGAGGCAGGCGTACTGTTTGCCTCACCGAGTAACTTTTTTACTGGGTTTTATGGTTAATCTGGAGCCTAAACACGTTACAGAACTACATTTTATACATTATCCAGATTATGGCAAGGCAGAGCATATAATCAGAGTGTTTGAAAGCATTTTATTTGCGATATATAGAGGGACAGCGACACACTATTTGCATCGCATACAGTTTGTGAGGATTACACGATCCACCGAGAGGCACAGCAAAGTGCTGCCTCATCGCGCATCTCCTCCATGTATTTGAACGGGACATACGGAAATTCTGCTATTCTTTATTGAAAAAAAATCCTTCAACATCGGATTCGAACGGCAAAAAGGCCTACAACACACACCAGCCCACAAATATTAACATTTATTATATTTTATGGTTAACTTTTTTTTTCTTTTCAAGATTGACAAGGGAGGCTCTGCCTCACCTGCCTCCCCTGACCACACGTCACTGCACTTACCTATGACAGCATGCAACCACACACACATACATCTGACTTCTTTCCAAGGTTATGCAAAATGGTGCCTAAGGCTCTGGCAGGGTCTTAAAGGTTACAAGCTCTATCCCTCTTTAGAAGGTCATACAAAGTTCATGACACAAGCCTTACCATATTTGGCTGCTGGCTCTCTTAGGCTTTCTAAGGCTTGAAGCTAAAATTTGAAATAAGAGAGATGGGGGAGGAAAAAAATGGAAAGTGGAATGTTCATTGGTTGCAGCTGGGCATCATGGGAGCATGCAGGAAATATGTTTGTGTGTGTATGCGTCTTTGTGCCTGTGGGTTTGTGTGCATGCAGTTGTGCATGCATGTTAGTGTGTTTATCCATGCATGCGTGTCAGAGAAGAGAAACAAGATACTGGGTTAATGCAGACTACAGCTTAGGCATTTCCAGATACATCTGTTTGAGTGTGTGTGTGTGTGTGTGTGTGTTCTTGTACTTGCTATGTAGTGAGGACCAAAAAAAGTTGGTTTTGTTTTGCTACAGAGTGAGGGCATTTTTTTGAAAGCAAGGCCAGTCCTCAGTTTCTTTTCTTTCTTTTCCTCACATCCTTTTGAGGGTTAAGACTTGGTTTTAGGGTTCAGGTTAGAACTGAAAGCACATTAGCTGGAAATATGGGGCCACAGTATGAAACCTGTGTGGAGAATTTTGGCTAAAGAGACCACCGAGAGGCTGAGAGGACATAGCAAGAAAGAATGACTTAAAACAAGTAAATCTCTCATTTTGAAAGGTAATCACTACAAAATACATCATGTTGAAATTTAAACATCACTGATTTATTAATTTATCTTTGAAAATGATTGGTATGAATATAAAAAATAACCCTCATTAAAATTTACACTACCTAATCTCAAACCTTGGCTGGTTAATGGTTATAGTTTTTTTTTTTTTTTTAACACAATGCTGTTTAATTTCAACATTAGGTCATCAGTAGTGGTTAAGTGTTCCATTTTTACAGCTTTCTCTAAATTCTACTGGAGAGCTAAAAATCAGCAGAAAACAATAGGGAAGAACACATCATATTAAATAAGTAGGCTACAGATGAACAGATCAGCATTCACAGCAAGAATTTCTATAGTGAATTTCATGTGGAATAAGACATTTTAAACAGTATGCACCTATCAATCATAGCTGTCCTCATACAGTTCATTTTAAATGCAATTTTCTTCATTTTATGAACACTAAAAACAAATATTAATGATATAATTTTAGAAGAGAAATTCATTTGTGTGGTTGGATAAAATGCTATGAGTTGCTGTATCTCATTCTGAGAAATAGCAGTAATGTTCTGCTGCTTTCCTCGGTAACATCATCCTTTAGAAGCTACGATATCACTACAAGTCTATTACAACTGTTGATTGAAAAATCAGCAAAGGCAATTTTGCACCCACTCAGTCATTGCAAAACTGCATGTTACAGATCAGTGTGGGAGTGTTTAACTGTCTCATTTCTCTACCCCCTTTTATGCCTAGAAAAATTTAGATTGGAAAATTTAATAAGCCTGATTCAAACTGATGTGTGTTTGTGTTGGTGCACCTTTGATCCTAATGTACAATGAGACCCAAAAGAATTATAAATCCACCCATCATCATTTGGGTCTTTTTGAGATGCTTAAGTCTTCAGTCTCAAGGAAGCAGCAACTTATGACAAAAACACACACATGCACATGCATGTACACACACATGGTTGCAATGGGGCTCCATCAAGCATCAAACACAACATTGGTCATGGCTCCTTTGAATAATACAGTTTTGTCATTGCTCTCATGAACACACACACACACACAGTCTCCCTTTCTGCAACTTCATCTCTCTACTGTCCACCTTTGTTTTTTAAATCTCTTTCCTGTGCTTCTGTGGTCTCACGTGTCCCTTGTCTTTCTCCAAGCTCCCTCCACATCTTCTCCTGCTCTTCCTCCTCCCTGTCTCTCATCTTCTAAGCCCAGCCAGCAGGCCAACTCACTAGTGCACTTACTTTCTGAGTGCCAGCAGCAATTCCTGGAGGGCAGTCAGGCAAACAGATTCAGCCAATGCCCGCTGTGTGACTCACGGAGTGACAGAGACTGAGAGAGAGAGAGGAGGGAAGAATCATTAAAATGAGAGGCAAAAGTATTTTAAACTGTTAAGAGCTGATGAGAGGACACAGGTTGGAAAAGGAGACTGAAAGAAAAGTGGAAAGAGAATGAAATGCTGCAAGAGGGATTAGGAGGTGGAAGCTACGAGAGAGAGTCTGGGAGACAGAGAGAGAGAGATGGGGCAAATAGAGGGCAACCTGTGCAATCTAACATGTACACGAAGAGCAGACAGTGAGGAGGCAAAACAGAGCAAAATAACTCCTCCCTCTGTCACTCCTCCCTTCCCTTCTCTCTATTTGCCAAAAAGCAAAGCTCAGCACGACAGACTACACGGCACAGTGACCGAGGGCGTGGACAGAGAGCGAGGCTGTGGGAGGCAGAGACGCGGTAAAGAGGACCACATAAAAATGTGCTGATAGATGAGGATTCTCACATAAGCTATAACTGGAATAACTGCTAATAGGCTGTCAGTCTCTGTGAAGTTTGGTGTAAATCTGACTTTCTGGCACAAATGACAGCATATATTCCCTAGATAACAAATGTTTCTTCCTGACTTTTTTCCCCCCTGTGAATTCAGTTTAACTTTTGAAATAAAATTTAAGTTGTATGTTTCACAATTTTTGTCATGAAGATTTACAAGTAAACATTGCTTTAAGGGCCCACAGGCCAAAAAGGCTGAGAACTAAAGCTTTAAACAGAGTGTGTGCGGAAGGACCTTAACCAGGATTTAAGAAATACATAGATAGCCGTTTCCCCTTGTACTCAGTCTTTATGTCATGCTAACCTGCTGGCTGGCTATAGCTGCATATTTAGTATACTGATATGAGAGTGATATCAGTTTTCTCAGACCTAAAATGTCAAATGATTCCATGAATCCCCAGATTTAAAAAAAAAAAAAGGCCAGGAGATCTGTAGAGCAATAGTTCAACATTTGGAGAAACGCTCTTATTCACTTTCTTACTGAAAATTAGATATTAGGAAAATGATAGTCTGGTGTTGTCCAATGTAAAAAAAAAAATAAAATCCACCTACAAGCACCTCTAATGCTCAGTCATTTGCACATTTTATTGCGTTTGAATAATCCACACAAAAACCAAAGTGTAAAAACGACAGTTCACTGTTACATGGAGTTGTGCAGTGTCTTGGAAGGGACCATGCTGGTCTGGGTGTCTGCCAGCTGAAATGATTTCATCACACAGACCCACTTAAAACCACAGTGTGTCATTTTTATACACAGCAGACCTGGACAGACTAGCTGTTACCTCATTGTCATGCGTCATACTAAGAGAAGTTAACTGCCTCTAGCTTCATATTTACTGTACAGACACGCGAGCAGTATCACGCTCATCTCTAATCTAACTAAAGAAAGCAAACAAGCATACCCCCCCACTACTGCTACAATCTCTAACAACTCCTTTCAGAAGCATTTTGTGTAGGTACACAAAAGGGATTACAGTAAATAAATTAATTTGTAATGGATAAACTTTGCAGTGATCCAATTAAACCTTCGCCACATGGCTCTAATTTTGAGAGCCTTTTTGATTGGCCTAATGTTTACAGGAGTACCTGGAATAATTACTAATACATTTGATTCTGCATGATTTGAATAAAGCACAAGTTTGCCAATTAGTCATTTTCTCTTTTAGATTCTTTATTTAATCAATGTTACATTAAACTAACATAAATAAACATTTTTATGAACAAAAGGCACACAGTTCAAATATAAACAAAGAGAACATCTGTACAGTTTGTCTCAATATAACGTCTACTGTCTCCGAGCGAGAGAGCGGTCAAAGAGAGATGAGTTTCAGTGGGTTATGTTGACACATTACATCAAATCTCAGCATGAAACTGTACACTTCTCAATCCCCCGCGAGGAACCAAAGCGGTGGCTGCGAAGGCAGTGTTAGCTTCATATGAAACGTCTGCCGGGAGGAGAACCCCCGCTGAAACTCACGTCCACTATCAGGCTGAAGAGGCCACAAGGTTTATGTCCACTAAATTAAAAGATTCAAACACGCAGCACATAGACTTAAAAAGAATGTATGGGCCTGAGCCTGGGTAAACACTCACTATGATTTTTTAAGAGAAAAATGGAGGGGTCAGTGTCACCACGGTTTTTCTGTCGCGGTTGCTGCCTCCTCAGAATAATACAACAGCCAGTTGGGTATTCACAGTACTGGCAGGACGCTCACAGTCTACTGTAGCGTTGGTCCTGGTGTGGAGTTCTTATACAGCCATTCGACTAAGTCAAAACAATAAAGGGGACTAGGTTTGGTTTTTCCTGCATTTGCTCCAGAATAATAAGGTAGATAAAATCCTCTCATATCTAATGGTCATCACTAGGCTCCTGTTCATACTAGATACCAATGTGCGGTCTATTAGTCCAGTTAAGTTTGTTGTAGCTGTTATCAGTTGCCTTCCACCTCTGAATACTGGATGAAATAGGTGTTGTCCTTTGCTAGTCCAGTTTTGTCCAGTTCCAGTCTGCGCCAGCCTCTTCTTTCTTATGGATCATAGGGTATTTGCAAATATTTCATACTTTGTTTTACCTGTTTAGAGCAGGACATGGGTGGAGTTTAACTGATTCCAATAGAGTTTGTTCAAGCAACTGTCTGTAGGACTGCAAATTACAGCTTGTTAGTGGTTTAAATTGTTCCTTTTCATCTCAAGTGGCTCAACCCCACCCATCTACCATGTGAACAGATTAAACCAAGCCATGAGTCAATACAAATAAAGACAGATCCAAGTCTAATCCAGGGCTTAGACAGCGACAGTGCTGGGTACTTCCTCATAATGAATGATAAAATAAGGGTAGCTCTGGTCATCGTTGAAGATGACATATATCTGTGGGTCCACCCAGATGTCCACACAGGAGTCATAAAGGTCACTAGAGGAGTCACGGGGGTTGATGGGAGGAGGTCGCCGCATGGAGGGATTTCCGACAGTAAACCTATACAGACAACAAAGAGGAAAAAGACTCGGTTAGTTACATTGTTGGCACTATTTAATCATACAGTACTAAGCTTAAACTGGGAGGCATTTTTATGAGGAACAATGCTGCTAACAGATTATCATTCAGTTCTGCAACCCCAGAGTTACAGAAGAATAATTTGCTGTCTAAAAGAAGGGCATTGTAAATTTAATGATGACAAGACTGGTGCTCCACTAGGTCTTTGAGGGCACCTTAAATAACATAAGCATATGCTGTAAGTCCATGAAATAAATGCACTATAAGTATATGAAATGAGCCACTGCACTGTCACCTGTTTCTTTTTCCTCTCTAAATTATTCATGTCAAACCCTAAAGACCCGAACCACCTTCTCCAGGTTCATAAATAAAACATTTTAAAATAAGAATAATTTCAGCTACTGACTGAAACAGTCAAGGGAGACATGAAGAGTCTCTTTGCCAGACAGGCAAGTGAACCACACTGTTCAGATAACTTCTTTATTAATCAAGCTCTGTCTCCGTCTCTGTCTGTGCTGTGGAACAGATTGAACCCAGGTTTAGAGTGAACGGGAAAGGGAGGGGGCGGAGGGGTGTTTATGTGTGGCATGTTTCCAAAGCACCGCACCATCCTCCGGGCACAACCACAGACTGTCTGCTGCAAAATAACAAAGCTGGTGATGTATGATTCAGCCAAATCAGCTGTTTTACATGTGTGGCTCTAGATTTGACTTGCTTGTTAAAGGCTGGACTAGCATGACCTAATGATAGTTTATGGAAAAAAACCCTCAGGATTTCCATCATCCAAATTAATGCTGATTTCTTCTGTATGTTTAATTTGTAAAGCACTGAGTGTAGGGGCGACAGGGTTAGAAAGAGATGTTGTTTCAGCAGAGGTATGTGCTAGAGGGAGCATTCTGGTCAAATACACCAATCAGCACTTTTAGGAACATTAAATCTTGCAAACCCTGGAAAAACTGTGTGCATAAGCCCTTAATTTAGCATTTACCAAAATAGGTTCCTCAGTGCAAACACCTCAAACCAAAGCATAGCATCATACGTCGAACACAGAAACAAGCGTATACCACAAGTATCAGAAAATGATGGTTTCGGAAATCAATTAACCTGGCTGCTTAGGAATTCATAGGCTCAATATCAGATTAAATACAATACAGTTGCATGTGGTGTGATGTGGTACAAAGGCACAAATACTATGATGGAATATTTATCAGTGTAATGTAGTTGCAAGTAAAATTTAAAAAAAAGATTCAAAAAGAAAATCAATCTTGCTAATGACAGGGGCCACACACACCTGCCAGTGAGGACTTTGGCCAGGAACATGCAGTGGACTCCTTTGGGCGAGCGCTTGGAGAAGTTGTGGGAGTAGACTGCCTTGCGGGCAAAGTAGGAGCCCTGGCCAAACATGGTGGCGTGTTTGCCGCAGACTCGTGGGTCAAAGTTGTGCTTGCAGATGCCGTCCACCACATCTGCTGAGGTACCGTGGAAGAGATGGCGCTCGCTCAGCAGCCGATCCATCTCCGACATACGCCGTGACATGTACTCCTTCTTCCTGTTAGAGGAAAAAGAGACAAAAGGGGAGATCTGGTTCATTTTCACTGTACAAAGGTTACTTCTTAAATTTGGTTTATTGATAAAAAGGACCTAGAAAAAAAAAACCCATTCTTTATGGGAACAGGCTGATGAACACTGTAGGACACACACACACACACATATTCTGCTTGTTTGATGTGAGCGGATCAATGCAGAGGCAAAAATGTTTCCAGCCAGAGAGGCTGTGATGCAGGTGTGACCTCTCAGCAGCTCGTGAACTGACACAGTCCAACACTGCATGCATCCAATCACGAATGCACACAAACAAACACACTTTAATTTTCTATTATCCAGTTTTTAGATGAAGTCGCTCAGGTTCCTTTGACATCAGCAAGCAGCCATTCAAATGCAGACACACAAACAAGCGGTTATGATTTCCCTGTCATAACACGAGTGTGGGAAGAGGAAATCAACTGACATTCTGAGAGGGCACCACTTTCAGAGTCTGTCCATGCACGCACATAACACACACTGTCAGTCATTATGAAACCGTGTGGTACTAGTCAGCATAGGAGAGTTTAACTGTCACAGCTGATAGGACCTGCCCTGCTCTGGTTAGCCCACTGCTCACGGCAGGAACATCATTGTTACATCCCTCCATCCGCCAGGTTCACACACCACTATGAGAAGTCCACCACAGCTGGTCTCATTTGCCCTATTTTCTCATTTCTTCCTCGTCTCACATTGTTTCCCCCCCCCCCACCATGCGTTGTTAAGAAATGTCTTCAGAAATGTATTCAGGAGCAACACACTATATGCAGCTGGTTCAACATCAGCTGAGTTCAACAATATAAATCTAACATAAACATATGTTTTGTGCTATGACAGCAAAATATGTGAAACTAGGAGAAAAGAAGAACCAAAGGAATTTACAACAACTGAAACCACACTAATATTTCAGTACAACTTCACATCACTTTGGGTTCATAATAGCTTACAAACAGAGATCTGAAACATTTTTTTCTGTGCTTAGAAACTAAAAACTATCTTACGTCTCCAAGTGAGGATAAATCTCTCGACTGTCAAGCCATCATACTGTTCTCATGACACAGTAGCTCAGTCCTTTCAGCAAATTCTGAAGTGTTATGTTCAATCAAACCACCACAAGTGTGTCAGTCTGGGGCAACGCACAACATGTACAAAAATGTTTCCTCTGTTACCACTTTTTTCCAACATTGAGAGTACTGCTTATGATTAATGGAGATGAGTCATGATCTGAGGGCAGGTTAAAGATTATGTCTCCAGCAACAAGGAAGTGTTTTAAATAAACCTCTCACCTCTGGTACTTCTCCCAGAGAAAGGGGTTCTGCACACGCAGGATCTTGATAATCCTGAATTTGGTCTCCGATACCGTCTTGTGGAAAAGGCTGTACACCGTCCGGTAGCTGCGGTCTTCACGTGAGACTGGCACCTGCAGGAAGTCCTGGCTCATTGTCATGGGCACCCAAGTTTCCGGACGGCTGGGTGGGTTGGTGGTTGTCGGAGAGAGGGGATGTGACACAAAGAGATCCATGGATGAGGAGGAGGAAGAGGAACAGGGGAGGGGAGATGAAGAAAGACCACCCAAAGTCCTAGAGACAAGAAAAGAAGAAGCAGAGGAAACACCAGGCATAAGGTACAATTCACAAAACAATTTCATAGTTTCCATTTATCTGCTTCAGTACTGGATGAATATAAAACACCAAAGACAAATGAACACACAGCGTATACACAGTTATATTAAGCACAGAAACAATTAACTGATTAATCATTTGACTGAAAATGAATTGTCAAACTTTTGGTAACTACATGTTTAAGTCATTTATCATGAAAAAATTCCTAATATTAGTTTGTTCCTCAAATGTGAGGATATAGGACTTTTCTAGGTTTCATATCACTGTAAGCTGAATACTAAGGCATTTTGGACTGTAGGTCAGATAAGAGAAGACATTTGAAGATGTTTTGCCATTTTCTAATTTTTTTTTTTTGTTGAGAGAATGAAAATTAGTTCTAGTTAGGACTCTGTTAATTCCAAAAAAGAATGTGAGATGTAACCTGATTTTAATCCAGCTGCCAGAAAAGAACTATATAATTCGGTACTTTGAAAAACAGAGACAACTAATTCTAATTTTTGGATGAAGTAAATAAGTGGAGTCCAGCATCGCAATGATAAAACTGAACATATAAATGTTATTTGGGTTTAAATGGAGCATTGGTTTCTATCTCTGAAAATCAGTGACTTTTTCTAAAGTCACCATACCTAACTAAATTTAATTAAATGCCTCACAACCTTTCCTGTAATTATACCCATAAAATAAAGAATTACCTACTGTGAATTTACTTTTACGCCTTGATGCTGTGACAGCTATGGTCACAGCACATTTTGCTACAAATTATGATCAACTACATTTGTACAGTTTTTATTATTCAGCTATAGAGGCAGTGACAAAAGTACGAGACATGAAATAGATGAAAACTGTGGGTACAGTCTAAAAAAACCTTTATACATAACAACCCACACATTCTTATACCGTAGGCCTTCGCATACAGTACAGCATGTTTTTTAATTTGCTGTAGTAAAATAAGGATGAAGGAATCACCAAACATTAGTCGACTAGGAGCTCAAACTTGTGCCCCGACAGATACGGCTGAGGTAATGACGAGAGCTGGAGCACTTTTTCCATTTGCTCGTGCCTGCTGGGAGGCAGTGAGAGCAGCATTCCAGGCCTGTTCATTTTTAGCAGCGAATGCATCAACAACAGGCCGTACATCACAGTGTGCCACCTATCTCTAATCCGTCCTACAGCTTTTCCCGTCCCATGTGCTTCCAATCAAGGATGCATCCAAACGTAAAACAAAACTGGCATGTCTGTGCTTCCAAAATCATATCTCACCAGGTGTCAACAATGACATCACTGCACTGTAGCTCCACAGCCGCCACCACCGGCCAAACAGCACAGCGGGGTCATGTAAAAATGAAACCCAGGCACCAAAAAAAGACAACAGGGAGGCAGAATGAGGGAGAGACAGGAGCGGGTACGAGAGAAGGGGGGAATAAAATGCCAACTGCGGAGCTGCCATGGAAGTGGAAAAAAAACCCCATTGTGTCTGGCATTTGAGTCAGTAACTGTCAAGTTATTGTTCTCCAAGTGTAAATGCTGTTAGCCCATCAGAAAGTGTGCATGTGTGTGTTAAGAGACTGTGATCAGTGTGTGTCTGAGTTAGAGCGACAATTTTTCTCATCTTTTTTCCCTCTTTCTCTCTCATCCTGTCTCATCCGGCCTCAATCACTCCCCGCAATCGATGTGTCTATTCCCTGTGTGCTTTAAAGAGATCACATACAGGCTGCTGCAGAAAACAAGTGTGAAATGAAAAGAGACAGATAACGAGAGACTGATGGAGGTGGGGGAGAGGAGGAGTGAAACGGACAAAGATTAGGAGAGATAACAGGGAGGGAGAGAGGAAGGAGATGGCTGAAAATAACATGAGGAGAGAGAGACAACAGAAGGAGAAAGCTGGGGAGGGGGCGAGGGAGAGTGTCAATCAAGTTAATAACCTCGACCTCTAAGCCTAGCACAGACTGTTCCTGATGCACACACGCCTTTTGGTCACTTGAGAGGACACTGCATTGATGAACATCCACACCCATGAAGAAAAAGAACCAAATATAACCAGACTAAGAGTAAACACTAAGAATTTAAAGGTCTGATTTGTTAGAGCTGGGTTTTGGGCCCCGTAAAGTGACTGCGTGATCCAGTTTTAGCCCCCACAATGTGATTAGTTGAAGCACAGGCAGGACAAACAGATGGAAAAAGTCAGAGAAACAAATCACTCAGTCCACATTCCAGCTCCCTGCAGTCGCATTTCACACTCCTTCACTCACCAGCCCTCCTGTGCTGTGCACCCTGTCTGGAAACCATTTAGACCTCTCACTGCGTTCCATCTCTCACTCACACACTAACTTGCTGTCTCTTTCTACACCAGTCTTTCAGTTTCCTGCTCCATCCTGCATCTAATTTTCCCCCCTCCTCCATCTCCTACTCTCCATTTTGTCTTCTCGTGACAGTCGGGGCCTTGCAGGAACAGCTCGTACTGGCAGTCGCTCTGTGTGGGACACTAGCGGGAACCTGCTAGAGCAGCCTGCTCTGCAAAAGAGGAGAGATGACTCCATTTGTTTCAAATCTGTAGCATTTGTTTCAGGAATATCAGTGAAGCCAGTGCCATGAGGCCAACTGCATAGGATGGCAGCTGAGAAAAGAAAGTTCCTGAAATCATCTTATTTCCTCCAGGAACTAGTAGGCAGATCCTACCTCATTTACAAAGTTTCTCACTATAGTGTATGTGTGTATATACAGTATATATACACTGTAGGCTCACAGGATCAACATTTTTGTATTTGTCCATGCACTCCCTTTTTCTGTTCTCTCTCTTTGTGTATCTCTTGTCTTCCGTCTCATCTGTTCCTGTTTGCCTCCTTTCATTTTCCGTCGGTGTGATTCGAGCCCACTTCGTTCTGCACAGGACAGCTCCTGCCAAAAAAATCTGAGCTTTCATATGTCTTATTATGGGTTTGAAGCTCAAGCGCAGGCTGCCAATATGCCGCAATCTTCCAATGTATAAAAAAGGTTACTGTGGTGTTCAGAGGATATTGAATATTCAGCTGTGACAATGACATTAACATTATGTGCCGACCTTTGTGTTCCTGCCAGTAGCCAAACAGGAACCTGAGACAGACAGAGAGCCACAAGGAGACAGTGTGTTACATACTGAAGGCCCAGCTGTGTGTGTGCATTATTGTGCATGTGCTGCAAGGCACTTTATGTAAAATCGAGGACTATGTGCTAATAAACAATGTGGGATCAAATCCAAAAAACTAAATGTTCTCTATGAGATCCGAGTACTCAACGATTGGTAAGACTTTGCCAAAGGGTACAATGGGAAATGGAGGAGGGGGAGTAAGAGACAAAGAAAGACTATCAATCAAGTGGATGACCTCTGCCTCTCCGCTGAGGACTGACTGTTCCTTGGAACCATGTCACCACAATCCCTAACAACTCTGGATCAGTAACACCCGAGCTAGTACTCTATAGGTACTCACCTCCTCCTTGTAACAGCACAGGAGATAGATACTCTACGTTATGAATGTCTTTACTTACTGTAGGTGGGGTGTCAGCATCACAGAAGACATGAACATGGGCCGCTTCTTGATCTGACGTCTGAAGCCAAAGACAGCGTTTTGCTGGAAGCCCTCCCTGATATTGAGGATATACTGGTTCTGGAGCGTAATGAATCGCACCTCCTTAAGACCCCTTGAACTCGCCTCCTCTATGAGTTTCACCACTGGCTGTGGAGGAGATGAGGTGTAAAAAAAGAAGAAAGGCAGAAAAAAAGGGGAGGCAAAGACATGAAGTTTAAAGTTTAGATTCTTTTTTTTTAAATCATTATGCATCTGCATTTTACTTCAACATAAGAAGGAAAAGGGAGCGTTTGGGGGATGTCACTGAAGTGTGTTCCATTGTTCAGATAACAAAAAGTGACATCATGGGACACCAGCTCACCTATACACACTGAGAGAAAATTTGGTGGAATAAATTGCAATTGGCTGGTGACAGCTGTGTCACAAACAGTGTTTATATACATATGTGTGTGTGTGTGTATGTGTGTGTGTGTATATGTGAGAGAGAGAGAGAGAGAGAGAGAGAGAGAGAGAGAGAGAGAGAGAGAGAGAGAGAGAGAGAGAGCCCATCACAGCGACTACACAATTGATCGGTGTGGGCAGAGTTAATGCATCGTGCCTCGTGTTCATAGAGCATGCATGCAAACAAACGCACACATAAACACACTGAGTGGCTCACCTCAGAGTATTCTCTCCAGCCAAAGTTGTCCCTGCAGTAGTACTTCCACACTGTGTGACAGCTGGAGGTTGGGCTTGTGTTCGTTGTGGGTGCGGGTAGAGGGCTGGGGGGAGTGGTCAGACGTCGGACATGGTCAAATTCCAGGTCACACACGCGCATCGTTCCGAAGTCCAGGGAAAACACCCGACCCCTGAAACACAAAGTTAAAATGAAAAAAAAAAAACTTAAGTACCTGTTCACAGTAAGCATGAAAACATAATACACATTCACACAGTCAGCTAACACGTGGCTGTGAGATTTTGACCTTGTTATTAAAAATGGTCAGACTTTATATTTTCCTCCGCATTTACATGACTAGACATGTGGCTGCTGATGGAAGCTCACTTTAACCCAGATGCCCCAGAGCAAGATGACCAAACCTCTAATTGCTCACTCAGTATGAGTCACACAGGATGACAGCATCTACTCACTTTCATGCCACAAGCATGCAAGGATGGGGAAAAAGGCATCCATTTACACACCATGAATAACAGATTCACATCTTATTCTTATTTTCCTCACAGCTCCTAAAAAGCTAAAAGAGATTCTGTCGAGATTTAAACCAGAATTATGTAAAGTATTATTAAATATGCAATTTCATTAAGCAGCATGATGGCAACAGTTTTGTGAATTTGCTTATTAGCTTTCTTCAAGAGTTAGTTAGGAAGACTGACTCCTATGTAGAATAAGAAGCTAGACCAGATCATTAGCTTAGCTAGTAGGTTGTACTGTGTTATAAAGTTCTGGTGGGAGGATTTTGTTACCTATGGACAGAGCCAGGCTAGCTGTTTCACCATTCATGCTAAGCTATGCTAACTGGGTGTAGCTTTATATTTAAAGGTATAAATGTGGGACTGGTGTCGATTTTCTCATCCAAGTCTCAGCAAGAAAGTGAATAGGCATATGTACCAAAACAAAACAAGGAGCTCTATTGTAAGATTCTGTGCTCGAGGATATATCACGATTACTAAAACATGTAGGGTTTAATCTACATCATGCTGCTATCCGTTTAAACAGTATGTATATTAGCCACTGAATGTGCAAAATATGCTAATATACTAGCATGTGCTCGGTAAGTAAATGGTGGAAACAGTATTATGTGCATATGTACAGCCACCCTCTTTGTCTTGACAAGCATGGTTAAAACCCCAATTTGTGTGTGTGTGTGCGCATCAGTCCTCTGGCAAATGTTTTCTGGGTCAGACATATTACTCACATGTGGGCATCATACACTGGCACGCTATGCCATGGACTGCACACAGACAGACACGCACACAGGCAGAAACACATGCTAACTTTGTGAGACCCTCAAACACACAAAAGATCCACACAGCCTGACAATGTTAATGGCTCATTGATTTTTTTGCCAGGAAAACTAATTGGATGCAACGTCAAAGGTTTGAAATGGGTGACTGTGCGTCTGTCTTGAAATGTGTGCACGTAAAGCAGGGGCTGTGTTCTGGCAATGCGTGTCCTTCAGGTTTGTGTGCACCTGATGAGTTATTCACCAGCAGCATAGAAGTAAAACCTCATATTATAATGGGATCACTGTAAACAAGTGCTCAGTTTCATCTATTGTATGTGCAATTATTGTCCACTGGGACTACACACACACACACACGCAGCTGTTTTGGTCGGTGTGGTGATAATGAGAAGTGCTGATACAAATAATATTTATACACTATTTACAGTCTGCACTTCTGCTAAGTCATGGTGTGACTGCAGGTCAGTAAGAGGAAGTGAAACAGGAGTTCATTTACTGAGCATGAGCAGAAACAGAACGGTATCAGATCAGCAAATTACCAGAAAGACAGTACAGGCAGATGATGGAGATATCCCCACAAGTTATTTTTACGGAGTGGTTTTAATCACAGGGTAACCAAAAATATTTCAGTTTCACATGAGAGAAAACTGAGAATTACATTTTAATATTAAAAGGCAGAGACAGACCGGGGAAGCAGAGGACAAAGTATGACGGAAAGAAGTGCTACGAGAAATGACAGGAGGATGAGAAAAGGCAAGAAACTACAAATGTAACACAAACAAACAAGCTGTGACAACTTTTCTTTCACCTCTGGCCAGACTGCTTTCATCTGCTCACTTTGATTTCTTAATTTTTTCTGAGTTTATTCTGTCACCCCTCTGCTCTGCTCCCTCCTTCATAGCTTCTCCATGTACAGTATCTCTGGTTTTTCTGTCTAAAAAAGAAATGTACTAATTCTCAGTACAGAATGATTTCTGCCCGCAACTGCATGTTATAATGACAAGAGCCTCCGTGCGAGTGTGTTTTTAGAGGTTTTATTATGCGGAAGTAAACTGAACTTTGTCACATTTACAGGAATCAGCCCATGTCACTGACCACCTCTTGGTATCTCTCTCTCCTTCACACACTCAGATGAAGAAAGGTCTCAAGAGAGGTCAGTCAATGATTTTCAAAGCCCTTCACAGATTCATTTCCCCCCCCAAGACTAGTTTGTGCTGTTCCAAAAATAAAATTCCACCGGTTAAATTAAGTGCACTGATATTCAGCACTTTCAACACAAAGGCCAATCAGAAGCTGAAGAGCGACACAAGGTATGCTGACTAAGGCAAGGTCGACACTTTCAAGATCATGTTTGAAATATCGCACTGCTCCTAGTTACACAAGTCAAATGAAAATGCAAATTGAAAGAGCAGACAGACTGGTGTGTTTAAGTTTTACTGCTGGCTTTGGGAATGATGTCGGTGTGCTCAAGGTGAAAAAAGGGGACCCCTGAGCAAAGCATTTGGTACAAATACACCCGGTTGTTCCTGTTCCGGGCAATTCCCAGCTTTAAATGTGTGGATCAGTGAGAGAAAGGTGTTGCTGGGGGAAAAAAAAAAAAGAAAAGTTCAACAAAACCTTTCCATAGGTAAATAAAGGTTAGGAAAACTCGCAGCACTGTTAAAACGGCTGTTAATTCCAACACTGCCTTCGGGTCAGAGACACACCTTTGAATTTTCTCACAGCTGCGCGCACACAAGTCCCTGCATACCTGCATCAGTAAAGCATTTCTGAAAGTCATGGACTAGAAAGAAAACAAAACAAAACAAAACAAAAAAAAAAAACAAAACAAAACATGCGCACTCATTTCACCCTCACCTTTTGTTAGATTCATGTACACATGCAAATTTCATCCAGTCACGCTCAGATAAGTTAGTAAGCCAACCAAATCTGCTGACAAAGGCTTCCTACACACACTGACGCTAGCTTGATGTCATGAATATACAGTATGTTACTTCCTCATTTTAGAACTGTTAACTTTTCTTATACATTTAAATGTACTTCATTTGACCTCGGTTTTAGCTCTACGGGGTGTGAATGACATGAAGTCAACCACACACACACAAAGAAATGCAAAAAATGTACACGGCGGTCTCGTGCATGTCAGAGTGGAACTCCCTGTCCTCTACTCTGTATCGTTAAAGCTCATCGTTCAGGGCGTCCTCTCTCTCAGCCTCTCGCTTTAAACCAGCCTGTACAAGGTGTAAAAGCTGAGCTAAAAAACAGGGAACGATAAATGAATCTAACTTTTAAAATAACACTTAATGATACTTGAAAAAGATACCAGGTGACAGAAGAAGAAGGGAGAAAAAACACAGAGTGAAAAAGGATACTGCTTGACTGGAAAGACAAAGTATGCACACATTTTCACATCTCTGGAAGCCCTCAAGGGATGGCTGGGGGATGAAAGAATGATACAAAGAGAAGGGAGAGGGCCTAAAAGAGGGCTGAAACGTAGATGAAGAAAGATACAGTAAGGAACAATGACAAGGGAAAAGGAGGAAGAGGTGGCGGGATTAAAAAAAAAAAAAAAGATATAAAGGCAGATTCTGAGTCAACAGAGGCAGAGCGACCCAGACCTCGCCTCTCTGATTCATGGCACGATCTGTCTGGCACATGAAAGACACGCACGCATACACACATTTGCAGCCTGATTGTCTGACAAGTCCTCTTTTCACACACACACACAATCACCCCCACACAAACAGGCACAAACATAAACACTACCATCCTTGATTTTCTTTGATTTGTGACACAATGAGGTGACATGGATTCTCCTGTTATGTATATACACATAAAAAATAATAAAAGAAAAGAAAAAGAACCATACACACACCATGGTGTCAGGTCGCTCTGCCCTTGGTGCTCGCTGACTCTTTATGTCAGTTAATGACAAGCACGGCTTTTATCACCTGGCCAACAAAAGACTATCACTCTCTCTCACACACACACACACAAATGAATAACATGTGCTTCGCCATGGTTACGCAAATAACAAAACATTTAAGTAGTGAAGTCTCCCCTTATACACATATTATGGGAAATTGTCCTAATTATAAGAGACTTGGTTGACAATTTGTGTTTTCCTGTAAATAACAAATGTCACACATTTCAAGGAGGAATAAGGGCGCAGGTGTTTTTTTTTTTTAGTCTCTCTCTCTCTCACAAACAGCATAAATCTGTTAACGAACAACCAAACAGAGGAGGATTATGACAGTATAACTTTTAGAAGTGATGACTGTGACATTCCTCCTCACCGCTGAGCTCACGATTGAGACGGATTTGCTGGACTCCCATTCCTGATTATCATATGGATGGAATTACCCGGTGCTATGGATCACACACACACACACACACACACACACACACACACACACACACACACACACACACACAGTTTATTTTTAGCCGAC